CCATTATTTTATCCACATAAATGCACCGTATTTAGCTTACAAGAGCCCGTCACGAAGTTTCGACACTTTAGCCGCTGACAATAACACCTGTATAAACAGTGAAGTCTTAAATGGGCATATTACAAGCTGACATTTTATTGCTATGAAATGCTTACGATATACCTTAACCACAGACGAGGATGAGAAATAACTGATTCAAGGATGAAAAAAAAAACTTTCAAATTTCTTCAACAATAACAATGATTGATATGCAGACAGAATTATTAGAAGAAAAGTGCATTTAAAAATGGAACTGAAATTTGATTCAAGGAAAACCGCGTGGAAAGGATATTGAAATCATTTTCAAAAAGAACATTTTCATTACAGTGATTTCCACACGAGCAGAAATTGCTTCATCCTTTTCCACTACTGACGAAGTCAAAAAGCTTGTGCGCAAAATGTCAAGGAACAAACAATGTGAGAGTTGTAGAGTAAGTTGACGAAGGGTACTATCTAGCTGAAAATATAATTTTAATTTAAGTTAATTTTCGCTCTTATTTCTTGTATGTAACTATAATTGTTAATATTGCAGGTACTTTAATTCTCCTAAATTACTGTATGGGTACTTATCGAAAACAATAACAAAACATGCAAGCAAAAGGTACTTATCGAAAACAATAACAAAACATGCAAGCAAAAGAAAAGGTTTTTTTTAACAATATGTCAAAAATGAATTTAAACCAAGATTTAGAAGGAAGTTTTAAGTCAATCCCCTTTTGCCTCCCATTCCAATTTTGGTTTTGGCTATAACTGAGTTTTATTGTGCGAGCTGGCCCCTCCATCCCAATCAGTGGGAAGCGGTTTACACCGCTTGCAGCTAGGCCTGTCTTATGCATAGGCTCACATATTTTATAGTTAAGGAAAAATTTATATTTATATTTTGGCACTTTAATGTTCGGTTCCACTCAATAACTATACATTTGTTATTCCTCAATGGACCTTTTCCGTTGTTTTTATTTTCTATTTAGCAATCAAGAACTTGTTTACTTCGCAGTTTTTCTTTCCATTTTACATATTCTAAACATAGTTCAGACATATCCTTCTTGTCGTTAAATAACATCGAAAATGGTTGTATAAATCAGTTTGATATATTTGGTGTGATTCTCCTCTGGATAAGTGCAAAATGTTTTGATTATGATATTGTCTCCTTTTGCTGCCATATTGTTCCATATGAATCAAAGCATTTCAGAATTTAGTTCTCAATGGCGATCAGCTACATCCGTTGTTTCTTTCTCGACTTGATGGTAAAGGCCGAAGATGTTCAAATATTACTTTCCATCACAGTATCCTTGACGCCATCTTGATTGTCTTCATTTCTTAATTTCGCGAATCTTTACCCTTAGTTTGACAAATTTCTGCTTGTTTATTCTAATAGAACGATGGCGCCGTTAAATATTTGAATTATTTGCCATTCTTTTGTGCGCCGTTTGAGTGAGTTTGCTGCTCATCGTAATGACTCTACCGTTAACTTCAGCCTTAAGCCGAAATTTGGCTTAGTCTGAGGGGGAATATAGTTCAGACACTAATGCTGGGTAATTTCTTTCTCACTATTACCATCCTTAATTGACAGTGTTTACAAGTTTCTAAAGTAAACTTCTTGCATCATCGAGAGTTTGTTTCAGAGTTTATAAAGAAATGTGTTCATTTCTATGGCGTTCATGTCAGTCTACCAAATGGCTAGCGTGCTTCTTACATAAGTTTAAAAGGGCTGTATTGCAAAGTGTAAGACTATAAATACCTTGGCTAGCAAGCATGAAATCCATAAAATTAACTCTATCATTGTATGTGCTGCCTCGTCTATTTCCGTTAACGAGCTACAGTAACCTGCTGGGATGTTGTGACTACCATTGCAATACTTTTCCAACATCTTCGAGCTGTAAATTTATAGCATGAAAAAAAAAAATCTGGGGAAGGGAGTGAACGATGGGTAAATCTGCTACGGCAAACTTAAGTGTTGATTATATTTAAATTTAAAAATGGGAAAGCCAGTCAGTCGTTCCAGCTAAGTTTTTTTTTTTTTACCAGAGCGGAGCACGATTCGCATCGTTCATAAAAGGAACGCTTTTTTCTTCCGGCGTAGGTGCATCTTTTGAGGCCAAAGATTACACGTTTGATGACAGAATTTAAAATATTCTTTTTAATCTCTTAATTTTTTGGGCTGTAAAACGATAAGGAAGAAACTCTTGTATCATACACAAAAAAGCATAAAGTGAATTCATTAAAACTAACAGTTTAAGATATGTACTTCGATATCTGTCGTGAACGGCAGGGGAGGGAAAATAAATCAGAGTGGAAGACATTACGGGCGGAGACGCGCTCATCTTTTTCTATATAGTTGGAGCACTGTCTACTTTTATTTCAAAAGTTTTTAACAGATAGCTCGGTGGAAGATATTCACAAACATTTGCTAATCAAAGATACATATCCTTTCATAACAATTTGAAGACTCAAATGTTATCTCTGATACTGCATTTTAATTAAATTTAACAAGATACATCAAAATAGTGTCTAAGAAAACTGCCACGTTTAATACGCATTCATCCACAAGCAGGTTTGTTTTTGAACCCTAAAATCAGATCAAACAAAGTCGATTCTTCCGGCATAATTTTTTAAAAATCATATTTATCTCTGAATTAAATATGAAACACACGCAAGCGCTGCAAAATAAGGAGTTTAAATTTTCATTTGTATTTAATACGGAGTTTTTAAGATTTTCTAACATTATTTACCTTGGTACACAAGGAAGTACCTGGACAACATTTTCTTCAAAGAATCTGTCCGTAAAACTTTTTAAAATAAATGATAAATGAAATGGATCCTTGTTTTTTATTTTTTGATAGAATCTGTATCATAACCTTCTTCTCATTGCTTGCTATGAGAAAGAAATATTCATAGCCATGGAGAGAGAGAGAGAGAGAGAGAGAGAGAGAGAGAGAGAGAGAGAGAGAGAGAGAGAGAGAGAGAGAGAGAGAGAGAGAGAGAGAGAGAGAGAGCACAAGTTCAGGTTCTCTTAACAAAAGGGAGCATTAATCCTAAAGGTATAGATATGGCTACATCTTGGGAAATTTGGCAAGCGGAGGTAAGGGATGCTGTAAGAAAAGACAGTCTTCTGATTCTTTGACGAACGAACTAATTTTGTGCAAGCCTGTTCTCAATTTATACGCAATTATGAACGTATCCTCATTGCCAAATATGAAGATAGTTCTAGGCTCCTGTGTTCGTTCATCTCGAATCAGAACGATGCGCCTCTCTATTCTCACTGGAGCCGAGTGTGCTTGCCTACGTCATCACACGGACAATTTTCTCATCAGCTTGTTTCAGAAAAAGCGCGAATCTTATAGCTTACTCAATCAAGAAGAATTTTAAGAATTCGCTCTGTCAGCAACTAACACAACTTACGAGTACAAATTTGCTGACTATTGTAGATAAGAGAAATGTATAGTACATTACTGTCGATTACCGGAAACTCGCCGTTGCTGACAAGTTCATCTACCTTGGCAGCACCTTGTCACGCACACTCTACATCGATGAAGAGGTCACCCTCAGGATTGCTCGGCCAAGTGCAGCCTTCGGCAGACTCTGTGTGGAACAGAATATGAATCAGCCTGCAAACCATGATCAATGTGTTCTGCCCTCCTTGTACGCCTGTGAGACATGGACGGTGTACATTCGTCATAAAAGGCAGCTAAACTCCTTCCACATGCGCTGCCTCAGAAAACTGCTCCACATCAAATGGCATAACAAGATTTCTGACACAGAAGTACTCCCAAGAGCTGAGATGACAAGCGTCCATGCCATGCTCAGAAGGTCACTGCTCCGCTGGGCCTGATGAGCGTATCCCGATGAGACTGTTTTATGGGGAATTAACTTAAGGCAAGCGTTCCAGAGGAGGCCAAAAGAAATGATACAAGGACACACACAGAGCCTCAATGAAGTCACGTGACAGTGATACAGACAGCTGGGAGCAGCTTGCCGAAGACAGCACTGTCTGGCGCCAAAAGATCAACTCAATCGTTGCTGATTTTGAAGAGCAACAGATCATCGAGGCCAAACATAAACGCCGGCAGAGGTAGGGCAGAGCCAGCGCCAACCCTCAATCGATGGAGTCCCCGGCAATTCCCTGCCCTCATTGCCCTAGACACTTCAGAGCGCGGATTGGCCTCACCAGCCATCTGCGCACTCAGAGACCAGCCCAGCTGAAAAGTCATGATCGTCTTCGAGAACGAAGGAAGAAGAGCAACAACAATAGTACAAGGAGGATTTTCACTTGCTTGTAAGGGCGCAATCTTTATTAAAATAGTATACAGTTGTAATACGAAAATAAATAAAATTGATCTAAATATATTTTAGTGGAAAATACTTTCAATATAATTTAATGAAAAAAAATATTTTTATTACAATTTAGATAAAATTGCAATCTTATTTTTTTAAATTAAAAATTATGTCCTAATAGATATGCTCCACAAAAAGCTGCTTAAACAACAATGACCCCCCTCTTCCAATGAATCATACAATTTCAGACTTGGATATTTTCTTGATACTCCAACTTGTTTATCATGGCATGGTCAATTCACAAGTAAGAGCACAGGAGTCTGCAGTTTTAACAATAAAGCACGACGAAATTTCTGAGAATATGAAATCACCTTAACGGTATTATATATTAAAACAAGGAATGCAAGCGTGACCACAGCCCTCCGCTACAGGAAGTAGCCCATTTTTACCACGGGCTAAAGAACGTCATTAAACTAATTTTACAAGATAAAATGTTTAACTTGGCTTATCATTTCAGATTTCATCATTTGATAACTTTTGTATAAATTTCCAGAAAGAAATATGTAGTTAAAGATCTGATAGTACAAAAAACGTCATCACATTCAAATATTAGAGCCTAGTATTAAAAGAGAACAGATTCTGTGCCGTGTTCGGAACGATTATTAGACCCTATCGCATATTTACTAACCGCTCCAGTGGCTTAGTGGTTAGAGCGTCTTCCACGGATGCGAGAGCTCATGGGTTCAATCCCCGGTCGAGTCATACCAATGACTTACGAAAATAGTACTAACAGCTGCCTTGCTTGACGTTCAGCATTAAGAGGCTGGTGTTAGGACTGGTCAGCCTGCTGTCAGGGTAATGTGACTGGGTGGGACATCATGCTACATGTCTGCGGCAGTTACTAACCACTAAGCCACTATAACGTATCAGGAGGTGTTGTGTGTTGTGTGCGGAGACATCGTAATCAAACAAGGCATTTTTATTTTTCTGCGTTTTTGCATAGACTTGTCTATGCCAGAAGAAGCAGGTGTCAATTTTTTCTTGAAGTCGTTAATCATAAAAAATAAAAATGACATAGATGGTATATCAAGATGGATGTTCATAATCTATGTGTATCTGTGAGAAGCCATAGAAATATTTCTTCCATTAGCAACATAAGCACACAAGAATTATTGGTGTTTCTGTTTTGTTTTTGGTTATTGTAGTTTTTTTTTAATTTTACACTGCCTAAGAAGGCATTGAATTATACCACAGAAAGGTATCGAACTTGATGAACAGGTACCAAATGTTTAAACCTTTACGTACAGCTCTTACTATCTCTCTAAATAATTAAAGTTTCCTTGCAATAGTCTAATCATTATATATTTTGTACTTATGTTGTACTTACACCAACAAGAAGGTCTCCGCCTTTTTCTCTCAGAAAAAAAGAGGAGACATAATTGTTGCTCTAATTTTGGACCGTGATCTGGGATGCCGTTTGTACTTATTTTGTACTGCGATGTGGGATTCAGTTTGTATTCATTTGGTACTGTGATGTGGGATGCGGGACTTTATTTGTGCTGTTCCAATGGCTATGCCATATTTTCCCTGTACAAAGAAAGGAAATACGCAACTTTTGACAACCAAAGATGACAACCACCACCTTCAAACCACTATCTGGCCTATTGGTCCAAAACCTGCTAGCCCTAGCGCTGCCACCTTTTTTTGATATGCCAGTTGGTCAACGCTTTCTTGGCAGATTTATATGCTTTGTGAATCCAAGAACATTGCAAACTGACATTTGTTGTCTCGGGTATGTATCAACAACCTATTTGTTGTACAAAGCCTTCAAGAACTATTCTACCAAATGCGGATACTTCAGCAACTAAGGACGTCGCGCAGACATTTCACAGCACATGCATTTGTTCAGAATGTTGTTGATAGCATCCGTTAGTCTCGAGAGACGATGGAAATGCGCCTATGAGAAGTGTTGGTAGTTGTGTAGCGTTTCTGTGACTATGAATCCCCACGGGGTAATGGAAATCCTTGCTGTAGTTGCTGCACTTGAAGGTTAAGTCTGGTCTGTGTTGGAGCAGCTTCCTCTTCCTTTGAGATCATTTTTCATCAGCGAGCAGCTGTAGCTTGTCCTCGCTGGCTTTCAGACCAGTAATCAGAGCATTTCGCCTGCTGTACTTGTCTAGAGCAAGCTCTTCTTAGGTGTTGACTTCGATTTCAAGGGCTTTCATGTCATGCTTGCAGACATCCTTGAAGCGGAGATGTGGCCATCCGATCGCTCTTCTGCCGGAGGCAAGCTTGGAATAAAGAAGGTCTTGGTATCCGTCCGTCATCCATCCTACGTACATAGCACAGCCATATGATGCGACGTTGGCGAAAGAGTGTGACCATGCTGGGAATCTTTTGCACGGTCAAGCACCTCGTTTTTTGTCACACGATCGCTCCAGGTGATCCCGAGTGGACGTCGAAGGCATCGCATATAAAACGCACTCAGTCTTTTCTCCTGAGAGGCGTAGATGATCCAGGTTTCGCTGGCGTACAATGAAAGTGCTTATATACATACCACAGGAGTCTGCAGTTTTATTAATAAAGCACGACGAAATTTTTGACTACATGAAATCACCTTAATGGTATTATACAATAAATCCGTTAAGGGATTTCATGTAGTCAAAAAGTTCGTCGTGCTTTATTGATAAAACTGTAGACTCCTGTGTACATACTAAGCGACAGCAACTTAGTCCCAGATATTTCCAAGGTAGACTACTTTGCTGGCCACGAAGTGGCAGTTTATAGTGATATCTAGCATTGGGACATCATGCCAAAGACATGTAGCATGATGTCCCGATGTCACACCCTATCACATTATCCTGACACCATGCCGACCAGTCCTAACACTAACCTCTTAATGCTGAGTGCCTGGCAAGGCAGTTGTTAATACCATTTTTATAAGTCTCTGGTATGACTTGACTATGATTCGAACCAGTGACCTTCCATATCTGATGTGGACGCTCTAACCACTAGGTCACCGGAGCAGTCGCACGTTGTTATCCATTCATCATTTTTTTGTATAAAGTTGCTACTTATCACCATGTCTATTGTCAGATTTAACTGTATTGACATAAATAAATTTTATTCATATCATTGCCTTTGTCTCATTGCTTAGTCCTCAAGACTTTCTGAACTTCTATATTCCTTCATCATAAATTTATCTTTTCAAATTATTTATTTTTCATATAATGGCATATTATAAAAGATTATTATATACATATTTGAGAAAAATATCTTACTTTGAGCAGTGTATCCTCTAAGAGTGTAAAACTGAGGGTAAAAAACCCCTTTGTATCAGAACTGGGGGTCAAATAAAAAAAGGAGGGGTCAAAAATGTACTAACAAATTTTCATCTCATTCATACTTTTTCAGCTGAAATAGGATATTGCAACTTGCACAACATTCTCTCTCTCTCTCTCTCTCTCTCTCTCTCTCTCTCTCTCTCTCTCTCTCTCTCTCTCTCTCTCTCTCTCTCTCTCTCTCTCTCTCTCTCTCTCTCTCTCTCTCTCTCTCTCTCTCTCTCTCTCTCTCTCTCTCTCTCTCAAATACAAATAAACCAACACACACAATTAACACACAAATGCACAAATGTCCATTCAAAGGATAATTTTATTTGTTCATTTTCCTTTTAGCTTAAAGTCATACTTTTAACAGTCTCTTTATAACCTTTTAGACTAACACATTATATATAAGCCAATATAAAAATCAATATAAATCTTTTAACCCAATGATAGTTAATTTACTGCCTGTCATAAAATGTGTACTATCATCGTTTTCGTTGTACTTCTTCCTATAACACATGTATCCAAAAATCAAAGAGGCTAATGATACATTTCTCTTTAACAAGTTACACTTGAACTTTTAGATCTTTCTTTCGTTGTAGCAAAGTTAACAAAATCTGCAACGAACCCTTGAATATGTAATCCAAATAATGGATTTGTCTCTGCAAGTTTACTTATTTCTTTGTTCAAAAACAATTTCATAGGTAATATCAAAATATATATTGTGGTGATCAAGGGTAGATGTTTAAAAATGTCTAAACCCTGCCACAAAATCATTATTCACTTGCACAGTATTCACAATCAGGAGATCAGAAGTCACACAGCTGATCCCAATGGATGTGTCAAATTCCAGTCAAGGGAATATTTTCTCCTTTTTCCTTAAAGTCAGATCCACATTTACTCTTTCGTGTTCTGCTTCTTTCACTTTCTTCGCTAATGATTCTTAGTGCATGTCGTTTTAATCTTGAGATCACATTTTAGTGCAACATGCATTGAGGTTAAACATCTGGACAACATCTTATTGAGCTTGATATAATTACATGAGAGCTCACAAGATTAGGGGAAGCTACTCTGTCATAATATTCCTATGCTTGTCTGTTACTGCATCGTATGCTCAGTATATAGCAGAGTGCAATCAGGGAGCATACAAAACAGGAAACCAGAATATGCTTATGATCGAAGTATACACGATGCCATCTCTAATCCAATGCAATGGATATTAAATAACCCTGATTGTATTTTTGCAAATCCTTTGCGTAAAAAGAAAACAAAAACAAAAACATGGCAAAAAATGTGTATGTCAATTTTCTCCAGTGTGCGTCCCTGATGCACAACTGTGCGTAAAGGGAAACACTGCTTTGAGGCCTATATTTTTCTGCATTTAATTACTAATAAACAATATTTATTATTCTCTATTTTAAGAAAACTTAAGACCACTCAGAGACCAAAATATAATGGAATCAATGAATAATAAAAACAACCACATGTACAAAACACACCCACATACATAACAGATTAAAGTTTTGATTCAGTGGCTTGGGTTAGACAAGACTGGTCCATTATTTGTATTAAATTATTCATCTTTTTAAACACGTAATTTAAGGTTTGACAAGATAGTCCGATGTTCAAAAAGTATGGTCTTAGCTTTAGAAAACTGTACAGTGATTCAAGGTCCATTTTTATAACTCTACTTGCATTTTATGAATGAAAATATCCATGCAGATAAAGATCAATGTACTCAATATTTCCATGGAGAAATCCTTGAAAATTGAACCTTTGTTTACTTATTATATGGCTGTGTAATCTGCATAAGAGGTTGACTGTGTCATGTTTCAGGTTGTGGCTTTTCAAGCCAATCACTACAGCAAGTTTTATAGTCTTTGTTAATCAATCCATATTACTGAATGCTCTTCACCTTAAATTCTCATCAAGAAACTTCCAGGTGAAAATTAGTGATCACTATGGTCTTCAAGAATGGTGGCTAGATACTAGACTTGGTCAACAAAAGAGCACATTAAGTCTATGTGTACAACTGTTAAAAAAGTGACTGCCAATGTGGTTACCTAGAAACATTTACTTGAGTCATCATCAATTAAATATTAATTATTTTTCAAAAATTTAATACTAATATGGTTTAGCCAAAGTCCATTCAATCCTGGTTATTTAATGCTCTGCACCTTAACTGTCAAGAAGAAACTTCCAGACAAAAATTATTGACCACAATGGACTTTTATAATGGTGGCCAGTTACTTAACTGGGTCATGAAAATATAGGAAAGTATGATTTTTTTTCAACATGTGTAGCTTTCATTATGGCATTCCAATGTGTGACATTCAATCCCATTTTTACTACATCACACATTTATTTTGACATCATCCAAATAATTTTTCACCTATTTTATCATTGAGTTTTTCCATATTTTAGGGGAATGCAAATAAT